CTAATAATGATGTACCAGTTCTAAGTCATACTGAGTATGCCTCTCAAATGCCTCTCTTTTATGTTATTCCTTCTCCTGTCACCATTAACCTTCCTCCACCCTACCCTCCCAAAATAACCCAGCATCTGGACAATTTTCTATAAAAGAGAAACTCCTTTACTCATAGTTCTAACTCAAAATGTAGATGGAGTTTCTTCAAGGTTTCCTTGAAAGAAAGAAAGAAAGAAAGAAAGAAAGAAAGAGAGAGAGAGAGAGAGAGAAAGAAAGAAAGAAAGAAAGAAAGAAAGAAAGAAAGAAAGAAAGAAAAAAGAAAAGAAAAGAAAAGAAAAAAGAAAAGCCCCTGTGGCAAAGACCAAACACTAGAAAACCTCAACCCCAAAGGTCATTTTTCTCCAAAGTTATGGGCACTTGAATACAGATGAGAAGGAAAACAGTCACAGGGCTGTGGCAGAGCAGTGAGGAAAAGACGATGCTCAGGAGCTGATGGCTGGCCAGAGGAAACCTAGGGAGGGAGGGCAGGCAGCAGCCAGGACTTTGCTCCCCAGACAAGGACAGCAGGGCTGCCCACTCCCCGGCCATCCGGAAAGCTGAGGTTATTTCCTTCTCCCTGTGTGCTGTGGCCTATACCTCACTGTCCTCACTTACATTTGCTTTGTTCCTTTCTAAACACTGAGGTGGTAAGAGAACTTGCCCCCGGGTTAAAGATGGACAGTTAAAGATCCCACCAAAGCTTTCAGGCTGCTCCCTGGGCCTGAGGGTCACAACCACCATTATTCGATGCACATCCACACCAAAATGAACAACTATGAACTCCTGCTAGCCAGGAGAAAGGAGTCAGGATTCTCCTAAACCAGATAAAAACCTACTTCCCTATCAGGAAACAATTCCTAAAGCAAGAAAGGAATCCTATTCCTCAAACTTAAGAGTCTCTAAAGCAATTTAAACCACCTAAATTAACATTTAGGTGGAAAAATGTTTTCAAATGTAAAAGTCTCATATTCTGCCAATATCTATCATGTTAATCTGAATCAAAATGTAAATCAAAATGAGTGCAAAAACCTGCAAAAAAAAGTGAAGCCTATTACTGGTAAACCTACCACTCCAGCTTCACCTAGCTGAACAAAGTACAAAAATAAACAGCAAAAATGATGACAAATGGAAAATACCAGATGTTTTACCATGTTTATTACCAATATTGTTACTCACCCGAGTACAACAGAGTTTATACTTGTTAGTTTTCATGGTGCCATTTCTTAAGGACAGTCCCAATAAGCTGACTCAGAGACTTCTGAAGACCAAAGATAGATCAGAAAAATGAACCCCATGCCAAGCCTCCAGATAGATCCTGGCCCCAAACTTGTTTCTGCCTCCTCACCTCTGAGGGATAATGGCACACTCCCATAAGGATCGGAAATGTCCTATGTAGAGGCCTTGAGTATTGAAAGCCACTGGGAGTCAGGGAGGAGGAAGGCTGATCCATAGTCCCAAGCTCATCCCCAGAAGGCACACAGACCTTGCCCATAAAGCATCTCTGTCAAGTGGACAGCCATTAAGCTATTCTGAGAGAGCACTAGGGAGGCCTGGATTCAGCTAGCAGCCCATATTCTAGTCCTTTTCCAGTCTCTTCTAAAAGTTCATTATCATCCCAAATCTCAATCTTTCCTGTTTCCATTTAAATTCATTTCTTTTTTTTATCCTTATTAAAATGAAGAGCAAGTTATTAGTATACTCTTTGGAACAACTACCTCCCATATGATGAATTTATTTAGTCTGAATAAGAAATAAGTCACTAAGACCATATTCAATTTCTCTTCTTTCTTTCTAAGTCCTATTTTTGTGCCCCTAATGATTTTTTTCCTTTCCTTTTCCAATTTCTCCACTGTCCCTGCTGACCAGAAGACCTACACAGCACAGAGGCTCTAATGACAACGTGACCTATGATAACCTCAGTGGAAGGACGCTATCCTATGTGGAGCTGACAACTTCTCCAATCCATCTTCCAAAATTCCTCTGAATCCTATCAGGATCCTGCTACTTGCAAACTTTAGAGAAGTTTTTTCATTTGTTTGTTTTGTTTTTAAAGAGAGAGAGGCTTTAAGTTGCCACAAACAAGTCTCAAATCACTCCTGAGCTACCCATCCCTTTCCTGAGAATGATCCAATGGGTAGTCCAACAGAGCTGCCTGGCCCCCAACTCACCTTCCTACCTGTTGATCACAGCATTGTGGAGGCTTAATGAAGTAGAGATGCATTACATTTATCACTTACCCCAGATCCACACAAATCCATCACTATGTCACGGCAAGAAGTTAGATTGATCTGACAGGATTTGCTCTTCTTCACAAACCCATGTAAGTTATTACTCAGTAGTACCCTATGCTCTTCTAGCTGTTTGCTGATTGATTATCTGACGATCAGGTCAAGTATCTTCTCTGGAATCACAGTAAACTAACGGGTCTATAACTTCCAAGATCATTCGTATTCCCCTTTTAAAGATAAGCAAGAGAGCGAATGCTTCTTCCTGAGTTCTCTAAAGCAACAGCTAATGCTTTCTAATAATGAACCAGGGCAGCCAATTCTTTAAGTGCCCTTGGAATCACATCATCAGGGTTCATTGATTCTGGAGATAATCTTTAATCAGGCCTAGATCCTGGTAAACGGCATGAAGTCCTACCTCAGCCTAGGTCAGGAAGGCCTTGGTGCCTAAGTCTGGGTGGGAAGTTGGTGATACAAGTGATTTAAATCTGTATTGCAGGGCACCTGGGTGGCTCAGATGGTTAAGCATCTGCCTTCGGCTCAGGTCATGATCCCAGGGGCCTGGGATCGAGTCCCTCATTGGGCTCCTTGCTCAGCGGGGATCCTGTTTCCCCCTCTGCCTGCCACTCTCCCTGCTTGTGCTCTCTCACTCTAATAAATAAAATCTTTAAAAAAAAAAAAAACCGTACTGCATTATATCTTCAGCATTGCAATAAATAAATAAATAAAAAGAACAATGCCCTTGAAAGAGAGATGGAAGGTGATACTGACAGACCAAATTGAGACATGAATCAGGCTTCACCTTCAGCAACATTGATAGGACCCTCTGTAGGACAAGAGAACAGAGCTACATAATTATCTGAGCTTACAATCTAACTGAAAAGTTCAGAAATAAACATACGTAGGCATGTGCCAGAAAGCAGAATGTAGAAAATGCCATAAAGGAGATGCCAAGTGATTATGAGAGTTCAGAAGAGGGATGAATCATATGCAATTGGGATGTGTTGGATTTTAGACTCATGTCCCACTAGGGCTTACTCAGTAATTGAAATCTACATCAGTAAAGGAAATAATATGGTGTGTTAAGATACGGATCCTTGATTCCTAACCTGGGAGAATCTATGTAACCAAAATTCCCACCCACCACCCAGGAACAGCCAGCACAGAATCTCTAATAGTTCTGGGAGGCAGAGAAGACTCTACAGCATGGGCAGGAGCAAGAGGCTGAGAAAATAAGGGTGGCTCAGGCAGCACCCAAGCTATATTCCCTTTTATGCGAAGTTCTTTCCCTCAGGACATTCTCCTCATCTTGCTCCTGTCTTCCTAAACTTCCACAGGGCTAATTCCAATGCTCCCAAAGACAGTCCACTACTTGAAGGGAAAACAGGAAAAAGGAGAGAGAAAGGGGAAGGTAAAAGGGTGGTGGGATCTGCTTTATGGAAAATAATCTACTATTCTAAAGATAGAACCTCTTCATGGGGAAAAAAAACCAACCATGAGAAATGAACTCAGTTTAACTCTGAATGGACCCCACTCCTCCCTGTCTCCCAAGTGCCTGATGCTACCGCCCCCTTTTCCCATCCTCCCTACCATTGAAAGCTGCTCCCAAACTAACATGTCTACACATCCCAAAATTATACCCCTAATAACCCAGGCCCACAGGGAAGAGTTACAGTCCTAGAGCCGGGCATACTCAAGGCCCCCACAGTACAATGAACTGCCACATCAGCCCCCAATCGTTCCCCCCAAACCAACCCCAAGCACGCCAATATCTCCAAGAGCAGGTGTCTCTCTGCTGCTAATCCAAACCTCCTAGTAGCACTACCTTAAAGGGTAAAAGGTCTCCGGACACAGTTGATGACTAAGGAAAAAAAGCAAGCAAAGAAATCTTCCTTTCCAACAGACCACGAGTTGTACTTCAGATTCTCTAACACATCCCCAAACTTAGTGGCTCCAAACATCAATAATCACTTCTTATCTCTCACAGTTTCTGCCAGCCAGGAATTCATGAGTGGCTCAGCAGACCAGCCTGGCTCAGGGTCTCTCCTGAGGTTGAAGTCAGATGTCCACTGGGGCTGGCAGATTCACTTCCAAGACAGCACCAAGAAACATGAATGGCAAGTGGTACTGGTTTTTAGCTAAGAACCTCAGTTCCTGTACACACATGCCTCTCCACAGGCCGTTTGAGAGTCCTCAATGCACGGCAGCTGGCTTTCTCCAAAGCAAGTGATCCAAAAGAGCAAGGCGAACCACAGCACTTTTTATGACTTAGCCTCAGAAATCACATTATGGCTTTTCCTCTATGTTCTACTGGTTATACAAGGCTAGCCCTGATTCAGTGTGGGAGAGAAACTACCAAGGGTAGGAATCCCAGGAGGCAAGGATCATTGGGTACCATCTTAGAGGCTGACTACCACAGTATTCCTTAAAATAACATGCGGCAATAGTAGGAGAAGGAAGGAGGTAAGGGAAAGGAGAGAGGAAGGATGGGACAGAAGGAAATATTTTGATTCCCAAAGGCTGAGACCAGAGAGAAACAATATGCCCAGTTCTCTCCAGAGACTTCTCAGATCTACCTTACCCTACCATGCCTGAACCAAGTCCAACTTCCTAGGCAGGAACTCCTGATGAGTAGCTAAAAGCCAGGAAGACATGAGAAAGTTCCCCTGGAACCCAGAAAGCAAGACTAACCTCCCTCCCTCCTTGCCCACCCCACCTTTTCTGAAGCAATGATGCAACAGTTACCTGAGGATGAATCTGTGGCTTGTCGCACGTGGCCTCAAAGTCCAGCACTAAAAAGTAGTGATACCTCTGGGGAGGGAAGGGCACCATTGCCGCCATGGATGCGCCAAAGCCGTGGGCCGCCAGTTTTCTGGTGGATATGGAGCAGAACTCCGGAACACCACAGGGAGAAAATAAGTGGGAGCCCAGCACTTTTCTTGCTCTTGAAAGTAAATATGAAGAAAATCGAGCTGCTCCAGTCTGTAAAGGTGCTAGCATTGAACATCCAGAAGCATCTAAAACTTAGGGGAGGAAAGTTTAAAAAAAAAAAAAAAAGAAAGAAAGAAAAGAAAAGAAAAAAAAAAAAAAAAGAACAAAGAGCCTGGGTTACTCCCCTCCCACGGTGGCCCTGTTCCATCTGGTCTTCAGGAATAGTCACACAACACGAACCACTCCCCAGTGTTTCTGGACCCCTTTTCTAAATCAACAGTATTCATTCCTGAAGTTCAAGACCCTAATACTGGCCCCTGCAGCATTACGACAGCTCTGAGTCTCCGAGATCATCCTCAGAACAACCTGCCACGCTGGCCTTCATCTTTAAATGGAGCTCTAAAGTTCAAAAGAGAGGAGAGAGAAAAATTCTGTGGTCGTTTCTCGGGTGGCAACAGTTAATGTAAAGCTAAGGTTCCTAAAGTAACATGAGGTGACCCAGCTGTACAGTCAGTCCTGGGAGCTAAGGAGCCTCAGACAAAATGGAAAATGCCAGAGTCTCTCCTCAGCTCCATTACAAGCCATTTGCCCCTGGCTTTCCAGTCGGTATTGCACACCTCCACATACCCTCCCTCCCATCTCCCAAAGTGAAATGGAACACAGCCAATCACAGGGGAGCTTGCTCCTGCAGGGCCAGTGATTCCCCAGCCCCTGCGCCAGTAAGTGGCACCCTGGAGGAATGAATGACGCCCGGAGAGCACAGCTGGTAACAGCCTCAGGCCTTCCCGTTCGCTGCCTTTAGGCTCACTCTCTACTAGAGGCCCTGAAGGACTGCGGGACTTTTTTTAAATAGGGAAGAAAAAGAGAAAACCCAGATGTGGCAGTAATGGGAGCACTGCTTAAAAAAAAAAAAGAAAAAAAAAGTCTAGTAAAGTTTTCTGAGTGAACATGTGCAAAAACAAATCCAAATCACTTTTCAAGTTTTCCCTTTAAATTTGTAGAATGTCTGCTCCTTAGAGGGTTAACTAAATATAAAAATCAAAGCCTAAGTTTTACTCACAAATAACCCAGGCCTCCTTTAAAAAAAAAAAGGAACAAAGAAAGTTTGTTTTTACCCCTCTTACACCCAATATTCAAATTCCCTCAACTTTAATCCTCAAAGTCAAAGGAGAAATCTCACTGCTCAATGCAGATATAGCCACAGTTTATGCCCTCTGAAGCCCCATTCTAATAGAGCCAAAAACTTGCCTATGACAGGCTGCAAATGGGCACTGGCTCCTTCCTGCAGGGCTGAGGGGGGTAGCAGCCTGTGAAGTCCAGAGCACACTCAGAGGCAATGAGGTGACTACTACCTGAATGGACATGTACAATCAAGTATCACTTTTCCTTCCGGCTCTTCCCTGACTCACTGAATGACCTACAATAACTTGCCTGCATATTTACTAGGACACATGTAGGTCCTCAATTTCCCCAACCCCGTAGTGAGATTCCATGGGGATTCAGAGGTGCTAAGACCAAAAAGTATTTTAAGTTCTTCATGGATCCTACAGAGCACCGTGCTTGCTTTCACCATGGCTTTACAGCATTTCCAAAAACGCAGCCCAAACTCCTCAGCTCAGGATAGACAAAGGCTGGCTTGGATTTCACTATGGAATCCCTTGGAAAGGCAAAGGGGCCAACATCCCTTCCAACACCAGAATCCAAAATAACTTCACATCACCACCCCTGCCTTGAACAGTACTGGAAGCCTTGCTGAGACGGGAGACACCAGTATGTTCAGATTATGCATTATAGTTTGGATCCAAAATCTCTCAGGGCCTTAGAACTCTCCTCTAACTCCTTGAAGTCAGGCTGGGATAAGGACTTTTGAGAGTCCTAATGTTTGTCAATATTCATAGAGAGTGTATATAGTATATATAGTCAACCAGACCCCATCTGCCAAATACTACCGGCAATTTAGCATCATGACTAAGGAGGCCTTCCAGGTTTGCATCCTGGCTGAGCCACTTATTTGCCATGGCACCTTGGGCAAGCTCTGTTCTTCCACCCCTCACCTGTAAAATGACAACAATAATAGCTCTTATTCCGTAAGTGAGAATGAAATGAGAGGGCACATGTAAAGCACTATGAGCAGTGTCTGGCATATAGGGGCTCAATATCTCTTACTATTATTACTACTACTATTTTTTTGAGCTATGCCCACCTGGCCAAGCCTGGACCCCCATACTTGGAGCTTATATATCCAATTAATGCATGCATAAGGCAACCTCAGAAGTAACATCCAAATCTCCTGCATGCCCAAAATGCTCTAGGCCTCCCATGTAGCATACTATATGTGCGCTATCCCCTTCCATGAATGACACACTGATGACCTGAAGCCCTCTTGCCTGCAGGCCTTGCTTTCCCAACTGATTTCACCCACATCAAAAAGCTTCTCTTGCAGGAAGTCTTGAGAATAGACAATAGTAGGAGTCTTCCACATGTCAGTAATCACTGGATTCCATACTTCCTTTACTTCTAAAAACCAAGTTCAACTCAAGTCAAGAAACAGAGGGCAGCTCTTCCTCTTCCCTTCCTGAAAAATTTAATCTTATGCTTTAGTCATTAGTTGTGGCAGAGGAAAGTAGTATCTACAAGTTGAAGTGGGGGGGAGCAGAAGAGTCTGAGGGTGGGGGTGGAGGGTATCAGAGCCCAAGCACAGTAAGGAAAGCATCTGTACAGAGGCAAGAAGGTGTGACGTAGCATGTCAGAACCCATGTGGGGTGTGGAGGGCATGGGGAGGCAGGGAGCAAGCCTGATGTGGGGAGTCACGGGCAGGGTAAAAGAGGCACTCAAAAGGGGGAAGGAGCAATGGTAACAAATGGGAGATTGGTTACATACAGAGGGATTGATCAAAGAAGGGCGTATATTAAGGGTAATGAGAACCAGGTTTCTCATTGTTACAGGATGGAATTAAAATATGGAAAGAGGAAAAAAAAATCCATGGTGTCAAATTGAAATTGGAGGAAACAGTGTGAACTCATGGTTTCTGATATATAATATATAAAAATAAGCTAGACATGAGTATGGAGACACACACACACACACACACAATCTATTTTCTAGCTCTGTCTATTGAAGGGCCAGGGAGCAGCAACACTCTAGCAGCAATGAGCACACCTAACACCCAGTTGCCTTCTAAATAAGTCTTCAGTGGAAGAACCAGAGCTCTTTGAAGAAATGGTTGATTCCACAACTATGGCAGGGAAAGTACAAGATGAGTCTAGAACATCTTGTTTAGGGGCCAGAAAGCAAGGAAATGCTCAAAGAATGATGGGAATTAATCAAAAGGATGCAGAAGCCAATTTGAAGGGGCTCCCACTGGCAATAAATAATGATATTAATAGATTATATTGCATTGAATAAAAAAGGAAACCATGAAATTAAAATACACAAATTAACTAATTAATAAATTAAAGTTTGGTAAGGGATGTTCACGTAGTTTCAATCTCCCCACAGAATGCTTATTAATCGTTAACAGGAAGCAAGTATACAATGGAGAAGCCTGGCAGACATCACCTTAATCAAGTGATCAAAATGAACACAATGGGATAAATCAAAATCATGTACCACATGATAGGATGCAATGAGAAGAAAGCATCATTTCTGTGATATTCCTGTCAAAGATGCATAATCTAACTCTAACCATGAGAAAATATCCAACAAACCCTAATTGAGGGAGAACCTACATAATAACCAGCCTGTAATCTTCAAAAGTATCAAGGTCACGAATGTCAAGGAACTTTTACTGAGCAAAATCTAAAGGAGATCAAAGGGACTTGATAACTAAATGCAATGCACATTCTGAACTAGATCATTTTGCTACAAAAAAACATTACTGGGACAATAGGCCAACTTGAATGGGGTTTCAGAATGAGAAGAAGAAGGTAAGGTACCAATATTAATTTCCTGGTTTTGCTGGTTGTACTATGGTTAGGTAAGAAAATGTTCTTGCATGTAGGAAATATACCCAAAGTATTCAGGGTGATGGGATACTAGGTCAGCATTAGCTCTCAAATAGTTCCACAAAAAATTCTTTGTACTATTAATTCCAACTTATATGTAAATTTGGCCTATTCCAAACTTTTAAAAATTATTTTTTTAGGGGCATCTGGGTGGCTCAGTCAGTTGTGTCTGCCTTCGGCTCAGGTCATGATCCCAGGGTCCTGGGATCGAGCCCCACGTCGGGCTCCCTGCTCAGCGGGAAGCCTGCTTCTCCCTCTCCCACTCCCCCTGCTTGTGTTCCTTCTTTCAATGTCTCTCTCTCTGTCAAATAAATAAATAAAATCTTTAAAAAAATTATTTTTTAATCTATATGCTGCAATGTGGTTTAAAAAAGGGGGGGGGAAGGAGAGAGAGAAAGAAGAAGAGATGGTGAGGGCTCAATCTCGCCATACCGCCCACTGAAGGTAGGCTGTGCATACAGCCTACAGCCTACCTTAAGAGGCAAAGCCAGCCCTTAAAGCATCAAGTCTCCATGATAAGAGCCCCCACTCAATGCCCGCTCACGGAGCACTCCTGCCACCATTAGAGCCTTCTCAGGAAAGAGCCCCGCACTCCCTGCAGAGGTATCCCACCTGCCTTGTACCCTCTGGCCTCTTGGGAATTCCCCTTTCCTAATGCTGCTTTATACTTTAGTCACAAGTTTGTAGACTCTAAGTCTATAACTGGTATCATCAATTGGGATTTTGAGTATCTAGTCCAGGGGCAGAACTCAAAAGGAACAGTTTATGATTCTATGTACTTCTGCATACTGTGTTTCATCAGAGACCAAGACCTACACACATTTATTCTCAGGCACCCTTTTTCTTCTCCTGGTAATTAAAGGTAGTAAGTAGCCTATGGCAAGGAGGAAAATAAATGATTCCCTCCTCAAAATGAAAGGTCCAGCCCCCACTGGAGACAGGGGAGTGGTAAATAGGGACTGCCATGGGACCAGCCCCATTTGGAGAAACAGGCCTGCGCCACAGCCCCCGGAGGATGGTCTCTGTGCAGAGTATTTACACAACAGACACCAACGGTCCTCTGCAGCCATTACCACCGGTCAGGTAAA